AAATGTTTATAGCCATACAGCAAGAAAAATATGCGGTATAAAAACGGTTGCAGCTAAGAAAGCGGGAGCAGCTCCAGCCAGTAAAGTAAGGCCTCCCAACCAACTCCTTCACCCTTTAGTAACAGCAGGAAGTGTCTCCACACAGTACTAGGGAAATGCAGATGATTGCTGGCATTCAGGAAACCAACTGCTGATTAGACTAGACCATGTATGTGTTGAGGATCCCTTCCTAGCAGGCAAGATAGAGCATCCTGAACTTCTGCAATGGGGGGGGTGACTTGCCCTTGAGTGAAGAGGTAAAGAAGATTTGTCATGCAGGTTGTTCGCTTCCTGAGCAGCGCTGTAAAACCAACACAAAGACGGAATCATACAAACACACCTATTAGTTGATTTCCCACCCCTCCCCCGCATGAGCTGGGAGAGGCATCTTTTCCTAGGCTGCAGTTCCTTGGAATGACTGGGATTATTTGGCTTGAGAGTTTCCTCCTGAGCAAACCTGTGGAGGATCAGCTGGTAAAAGCTTACTCCCCCCCCCCGGAGTCAAATGTGCCAAACCAGTTTGCCCAAATAACAGATAGGAAGGGCGTCCTGCAGAAGTTGGAAAGGGAGAGAGAATAGCAAGAAATGCTTTCCGTCGCTCTGCTCAAGCAAAGTAGCTCCCTTCTCCCACCCCACTCCCCGCCAAGTTTGCTGAAGGCGTCTCTTCGGATTCCTCCCCAGATCTGCCTTTCATTCACAGTAGACTCTTAGAGCCATTTGATTGTATGGGGGGCGCGGGGGGGGGGAGAGAGAAAGAGACCCAGTTCAGTTTTCGGGGGTGGGCGCTTTCCCAACTTGAGCAACCGAAGAGTCGAAATTGGTCGTCCAGGATGCCAAATTTAAACAGAACATGCTCGGAAGTGAAGCAGCGAAATCAGATAATGCTATTCTTATGGTCTGAAGTCGTGCAGCAGCCTGCAGAGAAGAGGCTTTCGCTGATGGGATCACTTCAGAGGACGCGGGCAGGCAATTATAAGAAAACTCAAGCAAAGGTCTCTTTGGAAGAACCCGGCTCAATCTTTGCCCCAAGACTTTCTCTTTTTTTCCATTTTAAAGGGAAAGGAGCAATGGGAAAAAAAAAGGAGGCAGATGTATTCCCCAAAGAGTTAGAGTGGAGGTGGGACGACGATGCTGGGGAAAAGGCGTTTGGAACGGCATGGCTCGCGGCTCAGGCTTCCCTCGCCGTGTAACGTCGATCAAGGACGCTGAGAGGATGGAGCGGGCCATTCCCTCGCACCCTCTATTTGCTCGAGGCGTGGAGAGGACGTGACCGTCGCCTTCCAATCAGCTCAGGCACATCCAAACGAACCCCCCCTCGTTGGAAGTCACGTGACCCCAAGGCCCATTCAAGACGGCTGGGTTCGTAGGTGCCTTCACATGCTCCTTTAAGAGAAAACAAGAGGGGTTCTTCGGCCCCACCCCAGTTTCCGTATATATATATTAAGGAAATCACCTTCTGTTTCTTCATTGATTCAAAAAGTTAGAGGAAAAAGAAACACCTGCTTTTATTTTATTATTATCATTATTATCAGCATCATTGTTTTTAAATTCTGCCCATTTATCAAACGCAGAATAAAAACTCCTCCAAGGTTGGGTTACTGGAGGAGTGTGTCAGATAGCAACCCTACTGCGGTTAGCTTGGAGAGGAAGGAGAGAGAGAAAGAAGGAAAGACAACTTTTTGAAACGACTTCTGAGAAAATCAACTTTTGTCTTGATCAGGCTGATCTGAGAAGACAGAGCAGTACTACTCAAGGAAAAGGTGAAATATTGAATTATGGGGTAACTTATTCTAAGGTTGTGTGTGTGTATGGGTACGCGTGTGCATGTGCATTTATTTTTTTCCCCAAGTATAAGCTGATTTTGGTCCTGCACGGTAAATTTTATATATCTGGCAGCATGAAATGGGAAAGGAGGAGTGCCCTATGAAAGAGGTCTCGTAATTAGGGGTGCATTGTTTCTTTGTTAAGAGTCAAGGACAATATGCTCGAAGAAACCAAGTGATTGATTAATATATAGCCTAACTCTTGTATTTGTATAGATCATAAATTTGTTTGAGTTGCCTGGATAACGTGTGTTTTAGTGTGTGGTTTGCCTTCGTAAACAGTGTAAACAAATATTGCGCCCAAACATTTTAAAATCGTAGTCCTGGTTACCCAACTTGAACAAGATGGCTTGAACGCAATGGGCCTTACCTGAGTCCTGCTAACTATACCTGCTGCTGGGTTTATTCGCAGGACAGTAATCCCACCTACCTGTGCGCATCCCTACCTGGGACTGATTCTACTTTAATAAGTCGTGTTCGTTTAAGTGGAAGTGGAATCTGATCAGATGTCACGCACTGAAATGAAGATTTTGCGCAATGTAAACATATCTAAATAGAAAACACTGAATTGGGACAGGTTTGCGTTGCTGCCAGAAAGCAATGTCTGTATATGTTAAAAAGCCAAATGACACACGTAAATGGTCGCGTGTGTTGATTATCCAAAGAATGATTTAATCACATTTCAAAGAAATATAATTCAGTCGGTAAAGTCTCCACTAGAAGCCCTACTGAAAATCAGCAGAAGCGGCCAGTGGTGCGCAGATCCCGTTCGCTTCGAGGAGATTTGCGTTAAGAGAACTTTCCACAAGGGCTGCGATCTGAGATCGCGTTTCTGTGATAACATTCCGGTTGGGAATTTAGCCCCATTGAGGGTACACTGTAGAGGACGGGGCTGCAGACCATTGAAGTCAGACGGGATCAAAGCAGAGGACACCCATGAGCTTTTCAGGGTACCTCCTGACTGGCTGTAAAGAGGTTCAGACAAATTTTGCTCATTATGTCAACTGCAGCTTGACCTTCGTGTTCCGGCTCTCGGTGAGCCAGTAGAAAAATTATCAACTGCACCCTTATCTAAACAGGCCATGAAGCTGCAAAGCAAACCTTGGGTAAAGTTAACCAGCCTCCCAAGAATCTCAGTAGTACTCGCAAGCGTTAATCTGATCGGAACACGCGTCATCTTTTATTAGAGTAAAAACTCGAAGCTTCAATATCCTTCCCCCCCCGTATTTTAATATCAGTTTCATCAACATAGCTCGGAGGCAGTTTCTTGCGCAAGGCATATAAAGAAGAAAGACGAGGTTTGCGCTACCTCTGGGGCGGGGCGGAGTATTTGCCTCCAGTTCCGGAGGTCAAGAGGACTCCTTCGGGTCTCACCCGGACTCGTGCTGTCATTTGGGCGCGAGATCTCAGGTGGAGAAAGTGAAGCCCGAGCCAGCCCGGCTTGAAAGGGTTAACGACATGGGGGGGGGGCTGGCCAGCCTCCAGCTGTTCCCAGCTGTTCTTCAGTGCTCTGGCGAACGCGAAATACTAACCCAAACCCGGAACATTTTCTCACATACCCAGATGAAATAAAGGAAAGAGTTTTTTTCCCCTCTCCCCCCCCCCGTCCCCGCTCCGTGAAAATTGACACATTATTTGCAACGCCTCGCGGAGTCGGGGCTGGGTCGCCTTTCCCTCAGAAACCTCACTCCCGTCTGGGGAGGGAAGGAAGAACGAAAACTTTCCACAAATGTTGAGCTTAGTAGTCGCGTTGCAGGATTCCCACCAGGCACGGGGTGGAGGGGTGGGGGGTTCGAATGCCCGCCCTCCGTCCCTGCCATGAACGTCGGAATCGCACGCAATTAAATTTGCGCGCGTCCCCCCTCCCCGACTAAGCCCGCTTTTCAAAAGGACTCTTCCGAGGACCTTGTGAGAGGGGCGTCCACCCGCGGCTGGAGAAAGCGCGCCCCAGCGGGGAAGCGAGAGATGTAGCTGTAGGACGGCGGGGTGGCGAAAGGGGGAGGCGGGTTAACTGGTCCCGAGAGGCTGCTCCGTGGAGTGTCTGAGGGCCAGTTCATGCAGGCAGCAGCTCGGTGGCTCCTCAGCGGAGAGAACGGGGGGACCCCTCTCCAAACATCTCACCCTGTGAGGTTTAGCGTTCGACAAGGGTTTGGGTTATTTTTCTTAAACGTCTGCCTGCAAGCAGAAAACTAGCATATCGGGGCTCGAGGCTGTAGCCCAGCCCGTCGCCTGTGGCGCCAACTTCTGCTTCGGAGCGCGGCCGTCCCGTTCCTTTGCCGCCTGAGGCGGCCGAGCCCCCTCTCA